TCTGCTAAAATCCAGGCAGATTGCTGTCAGCTTGTCCTGAGGAGAAGTGCAGTGCTAGAAATCTGACACGTACACTCTCCTACAAGCACTTGTTGTTGTATTTTTGTATGCAGATGTGATGGCAGGGTGAGCATCAAAACATCAACCTGCCATGGAGGGGATTTGTGTAGCAATTTCTCTCTTGTTTTCAGTGGAGGCACCCGTGTGTCAGACAGAGAAAGGGAAGGGGCTCTCCTTGCTGCTTGGGAATTGCTTTGGCTGCTGCTTTGGGAAGCAGCTCCAGGTGATTCTGCTGTCCTTTCTTTGGGGTTATTTGACACTGAGCCCGAGACATGACAGCAGTCATTGGAAAATCTATAGTCACTCCTGTTGAACTTAATAATTTAATTCTGAGCACATCCCTCCTCCCAAAAAAAAAGAAAAAAAACCTTCAAATTTAAGTATCTTAAGTATTTTACTTTGTAAAGACTCTAGTGAAAATGTGCATGATACTTCCTTACCACTATGTCCCACTAAATAGAATTTTAAAAACTCCACAATAGTTGAAATCCCAGTCAGTATCTTGCTGATGTTCTCTCTTGCCCTAAAGAAAAATAATAATAGAGGAAAAGAGCTTTTAGCTTTAAAATTAGGGGTTGTTGAAATTAATTTTGAAAATTATTTTCAGTTGTAAGATCTTCAAGCCATTGGGTAAATTGGAGCAGGAGCACACATGGACTGTTGTGGCAGAACCATTATCACCTGCTGAGTTCAATCCAGAATCCTCAGAAATTCCTTTCCTCTCTCAGGATTTCTTCCACAGCTCAGGTCACTGTTTTTGCATTTTGATAAGATTGTGTCACACATGTCGCTGTGCCACCAGTCCAGTGTGGCTGAGAGGAAAAAGGACATTGCAAAATCAAATCCTTTTCTTTGGTCCTACAGTTCCTTGTGAGTTTGGGGGCTCCATGACAATAAATGGAGCCAACAATGCCCAGTGCCAGTCAGTCCTGAATGGGAATAACTGTTTGGTTTGCTTCCAGAAGGGCTTGTGAGCATCTCCCTTCACTGCAGACTCACACCCAGAATAAATATCACCTTTTTCCTCCTCTGCAGTGCCAGACAAGCTTGTCCTGAAGCTGCTGACAGAACGCCTGAGCGCCCTGGACTGCCTGAGCAATGGCTGGGTGCTCTCAGGCTTCCCCAGGGACGTGGAGCAGGGAGAGCAGCTGCAGAAAGCACAGATTAATCCCAACAGGTAAGGGAGAGATCCAGCCATCACACCACTGGGGAGATGAAAAAACTGTTTGTGGAAAGATACAGATCTTTATTGACACTTTTTTTGTGTGTGTGTGCTGCTGCATCTTAGTTTTTGTTTTCTTGGTGAGGAAAGGGGTCCTGCTCCTGGAGAGGAGGAAATAAAGCCCTGGCCTGACAAATGCTCCAGATGGCCAAACTGTGGGAGAGAGAAGAGGTTTGTTGTTCTGGTTATTTGTTTGAGTTGCCTCTGAAGCCAAACCATAAGAAATGGATTAAAGTTTGGATTATATGAGAAGATGTATTTTATTTGCAGCAGGAGGGGGGATCTACTTCTTCTTTCTTCAGCATTGACATAATACCATGGAAATATATTGGTATTGCAAGGAGCTCATTATGAGACTTTTGGGTTTTGTGAAATAATTAAAAACAACACGAGAATTACATTTTATTTGAGCTATAATGAATTGTTCAGAAATGTAATATGAGAGACATCAGCATCCAAAGAGAACTGTTACGAGTGCCAAGCAAATAAAACAGAGTTACTTTTCACAGCTGGTCCAAAGGTGGTGAGGATTTAAAGTGCTGGTGCACTCATCAAAGCTGAGAGGCTTTTCCATCCCCTTCCCAGGCCTTCCTGGATCTGCCCATCCCACTGGCTGGCACAGTGGCCATTCCAAAGGCAAACACTGGAAATTTGGGATCTTTCTGCTTCCAAGGAAGATGTTCTTATCTGAGAAGTAGTGGTAGGAGAGGTGCATTGCCCACATCAGGGTTTAATTTGGCAAAGTTACTCTTCCTGTGTGATTGGCCTGGATTCCTTCCTGTACAGGGAAAGGAGAAGGATGGAAAAGGTTGAGGTTGAGTAGGGGAGAGAATGGAGGGGAGTGCAGAGGGAGGGAGCTGCCAGTCATCCATCAAGGTTTGAAAAGGGAAGTGTGTGGAAACAGCAGAAACTTTATTTATCCGAAGTAAGACCATGTGCATCCTAAACAGGAATCCATTGCATGAAAAAAAAAAATGGAGAAAGAACCTCAAAATTTGTGCTGGACTCAGTGAAACATAATTTCCCACAGATTATTCTTCTTGTGCATTTAGAAGGAAGGTGCTGAATCCCTGAGCCCTGTGAGTCCCTGAGATCAGTGTGAATTCTGGAGTGTGCCCCTTGTGCTCCTTCCCAGCACCCACACCTCATCAAGGGAGGAAGAGCAGCTCATTATAGAATTGGCTGGGTGGAAATTCAGCACTGATCCATTTCCTCCCTTCACTTTAAAGAGCTCTGCACATTCACATCTGAGTTTAGAATTTGGTCCCCGTTTTATACAGGGCTTGAAGTGAGGGACAGAAATAGGCATTGAGCTCCCTGATTGATCTCGGAGCTGGTATTTTCCATGAAGCTGAAGTGGAAGGGATGTGAGGGAGAGAGGGTGATTATAAACAAAAGGACACATTGCAGCATAGGATAGCAGGGCAGTAATTCAGTTTCAGTTGTGATGCTAGTTATAAAACACTATCTGCAGAGGTGGTGTTTCTGACATCAGGAGAAAAACCTGATAGAATTATAACCTTGAAATCAATCTGGGAATAGGATGTAGAAATCTATAAATCAGACACAGAACAATCTACAAAGTCTCATTTTTAGGAGGGCTCTGTTGATGAAATTAGATTAAAATAAATTTACATATATATCAAGTTTATTATTAAAATCTAGTCACATCAGTAAACAAAATTATTTGCGAAAGAGAATGTTACTCTGCTTTTTGAACTCAGAGTAGACCTCTTTGGCTGATCAGAACACAGAGTTATTGTCTGCTTGTCAAGTCACAAATCTATTCCTTAGAGCTAATAAATGGTTAGTGTTCAAATACTATGTTTTATCTGACTCCCACCTCATAAAGCTACCACACATAATACTAAATTATACTGCATTGAGCAGGATCAGTCTCCTGACTCCTCCATCTTATAGAAAGAAAAACAAACCTAGTAATTGATGGTAGAAAAGAAGGAAAATAAAGTTATTTGAAAACAAACAAAATGGGCTATAAAGTTTGTTAAAATGTAATAATAAAAAAAGAAAAACCTGATACAGCATCGGCTACCGCATCCAAAGAACTACTGTGGAACAAAAAGGAAAATAATTCAATTTTCACTGAAAAAGTAGGGGGTTTCTTTAAATTAGAATTTGCAGTGGAATGAGGGTTTGCTGGTGGACTGGCACAGGAAAGAGAGGAGGGAGCTGCCCTGTGAAGCAGCTCCTGCCTGGGTGGACAGGATCCTGCTGGCCTTGAACTGGGGCAGCCTCCAGGGCAGAGGAGGAGCTGGATCTGTTAATGGCCTCTCAGCTGGGACTCAAATTTAACCATTTCCTGCCATTAACCACTTCGTGCCCACCCCAGTGGGAATCCACAACCACAGGGTGGCTGTGAAGCTCTGAGCCACAAAGGGCTGGCTTCAGTTCCTCACCCAAATGGGTGGTTTGGCTTTTTTAATTAGTGCTTAAGCAACAAAAAGAAATGTACAGTTGTATATTGTATACATCTATTGTATATGTATAGTGTAGCCATGGGTGGTTCTACTGAAAACTCAGTGTAATATCCTTTTTATCCTATTTTTTTATCCTTTTTGCTCTCTCTCAAACTTGGAGTTAAAATAAGATTCGGCAGCAGGGTCGTGTTGTGAATCTCTGGTTGTCACCTTCAGCTGGTTCCTGAGCATTCCTCTGCTGGGCCAGCTTAAGGCAATCAGAAATTTAAGGATTCCCTGAGCCAGAGGATCCTCTGGAAAACTTCTGATCACCCCTTCTCCTTGAGTCCATAGTCTCTTTTTAAACCTTTAGGTTTAACCTTCCACCAAATCACATGGAAAGGAGTTTCTCATTTCACCGGGTGTCATATCAAAATACTTCATAATTTTTTTCCAGGTGCATTTCTTCTCTTGAGAAACATTTACAGATATTCCCTGGTCATGTCTCTCAATACTCCTGATTTTCTAAGCCTCTTGTATTTGCCCTTCAGTCACTTCTTTCCCAGACAAAGAACCTTGATCTGTTTATCCTTTTTTCTTTTCTAGAAATCATTTATTTCTTTTGGTCATCCCGTTTCCTCCCCTCACTGGGGAAGTAAAGTTTTTGGTTTGTTTTTGTTTTGCTGAGGTGGGACGCCCAGAATTGCATTTAAGGGCAGCACTGTGTGCTGGAGGTGGATAAAATAAGCATTTTTATTTTGATCTTAACTCCATCATTTATAATTGCTGTTATTCTATCAGATGTTACAGGGATAGAGTTTGGAAGAACATCTTCTGTGTGTACACTGTGGTAACTAAACGTTGTCTCTTTGACTGAAAACATACCAAAAATTTACAAAGTGTCAAAAATCTCAGTTGAGTGAGTTCAAACTCAGCAGAGATCTCATGAGAGCCTTTAACTCAGGATTTCTCTGTTAAAGTTGGAGCCAGGTTTGTGCTGGAGCTCTCCTCAGGCCCTCCCATGGTACCCAAAGCTCTGCTGCTGCCTCTCCTGGGACTGCCACTTCCCTGCTCCATTATTTCCCTGGGTTTGTCCTTCTGATCTGAATCCAGGGTCAGTTATTTTACTTTTCTGTGTTGATTAATTACATTACAAATCATACAAATACAAACAGACAAAGCTGGGTGTGGGAGAGCTGAGCTAAAGGATTGCCCTAACAATAATATATTTCTAATACTCATTTTTCCAAACTTAAAGTTGTTTCTTTGCCAGTAGAGAAAATAAACAGCAGCAGCTTCTCCAGTGCAAGCTTTCCAGCAGGGTTTTTATTTGGTCTTCAAAATGATGTGGCTGCGTTCCCAATTATGTCATCTTTTTACACAATATATTTAAAGCTTCTTTTTCACCACACTGCTGAGAACATGTATTCAAACAGTTTAGGATAATGAAGTTCCTAATTTCTGAGGAAGAACCTGTGAATATGTTGAAAAGGGAGAAATCAGAATGGGGGAAAAAAAAATATTTTCTTTTTCCTTTTGAACTACTTGGTCTTTACATGGGGCTTTCATATTTCTGCAGCTGATCCCAATGTGGATTAGGGATAATAAACAGCCTATTAATGGAGGCCTGAACTAGGAAATGGAGTTTGAATCAGCAGTAAAATTCAATGGCTGGCGAAGGTTAATAACTCCATTACTATCAGCTCTATTTTTGAGCCGTTTGAAGAGCTGGGTGTTAGCCTTATCTTACTCCTCATTAATTGAGCTAATAGAACCCCAGTGACCCCACCATGCTGCCATTATCTGAGAGTTTACCAGACATGGGCTGGAATACTTATCACTGAATATGTATTCCTCAGATTCATTTTTATATCAGAAATATTTTTGTTAAAGATCTCCTGCCTTCGGGTTCCTTTTTTTGCCTTTTCATTTCTTTGCTGCCTTCTGTAACAGCTACTTGTTTGGAAATTACATGTAAATGACTTAATTAAATCCCTATCAAGGAACAAGCTAAATCCCAAAATGGTTGCATCAAGGAAACATGATAGTGATTGAATTATTCTGACATGGAAAAATCTTACAGAGCATTTTAAAAACTTTGACCCAATTTAAATGATGGATATTGTGTATTTATAATAGGTGTGGTTTAGGTTGATGGCATACAAAAATCTGATGAGTAGCAAAGAAGAAATGTTATATCTTATTTTCTCCTCATTTTAAGGCAAAAAAAAAAATAGAAAAATGATGTAGTAATCAAGGGACTAAATCACTATAATAAAATTTGCCTGCACCAGAGAGACAGAGAAACTGTAGAAAAAGTCCAAGTGAACTATATAGGATTTGGATTAATTTGTAAAATAGTAAAAATAATAGGCAGCACAAATCTGTTTCAATCATTTTCTTTTTTTTTTCTTGCTGGGAATTGTGCTTTGGGTGAGGAATCCTGATCTGTGCTCCCCACCCAGCACTGCCCCTCTTACCCACGGCCACAGCACCCTGGCCAAGGGGGGAGCCCACAGCTCCTGCTCCCCAAACAAAATCCCAGTTTTTACTGGGCAAAATCAGCAAATCTTCCTCTCACCTGAGACTTGTCTGCTTCACTCAGGGACTGGGATCAGTTTAATCCAGTTTCTACTGCTGTAGCCTTTTCCAAGCTACAGGACTAACTCAGTGATTGTCTTCACTCTTTATTTTGGACACTTATCCTGCTCATTAACAAGATTGTAATTAAATCATTTACCTTTGTTTCCTGATCTGCCACCAGTGCAAGAGGCACCACTGGGCATGGAGTGATGGGCAAAATATATTCAGGAATCTCCCATTCCTTCATGTGTCCCTCTGGCAGGAGGGCTCTGCTCAGCACTTCCAGGGGTTCCACATCCTGCAAAAACTCACCCTCATTCTTTTGTCCACACAAACCCCATGGAAGCAGCTCCTCGTTCAGATTTCTGAGGTTTAGCCATTGGTGGGGAATTCTTACTCTCCATTCTCCTCCTCCTCAGACTGTGCTCCCTCTTCCCTCCTAACACTACTCTGAATAGAAGCTCTTGCTCTTAAATAATCCAATAGATAGAAAATTGGATGATTACAATAAAAAGATTATGTCACTTCTGCTGCACATTCTGCCTGACCTATATTGGTCCCATAAGAGCCTTTCTCTCCTGGGGAGAAGCATTAATATGCATCTTGAGCCAGCAATAACAAAACATCAAATGCAGTTTAAAAATCTTTCTGTGGGCTTTCTGTAGGATGCTGCATTTGCTGTCACAAGCTGATTTTGCTCCAACAAGAATAGGAGGTATATTTGGCTTCAGTTGTGGGAGGCAGGGATTATTTTTAGAAGTTACCTCATCTCATACAAGCTCCTTTTGATGGCTGGAGTTTGTCTGGTGAAATCCTGGATACAGCAATTAAGGAGTGCTCTGATCTCAGCAAGCTTCCAAAGTCTCCAGGAAGAGAAAGAAGAAAAGCTTCTACTTCTAAGTCAGTATTTTTATTTTTACTGTTATTTTTAAGGACCCAACACCACATGCACAACCCTTTCATTCCTTTTACTGCTGAAAGGAGGGAGATTTTCCTGCAGTAACCATCTCTCACAAATGAGGAAACATTAGGAAACCTGAAGACTTTTCTATCCTGGTTGCCCTTACGTTGGAACTGTTTCTCTCGGAAGTTGCCACCAACATCAAGGCTGCCTTTCTGAACTCAGCACCAGACTGGAGAGGGAAAATTCTGTGAGAGCAGCAGAGTCTGGGCTAATTTGGATGTCTTTGGCACTGGTAGCAAATTTTAGACAAGACAAAGTAAGCCAGTCATGTCTCAGTCCATTGACAACCTTGTGATACCAATCTCTACAAACCAGCAAAGGCTGTTCAGGGCATTCACCTAAAATACAACTTTGGTTTAAGGAATGAAGTGAAACAGCCAAGGAAATCCAAGTGCTGGCATTTAAATAGTAGCTAAGTCTGAGCCTGTGCTTTCCCCCTCTGCCCTCTCTGCTGCAGTTTTTATTCACACATTTTGGAGCATCCCCAAAGCTCCCTGAGCTCTCCTTGAGGTCTCTGTTTGCTCTCTGGGCTGGGATCCAGCAGTGCTGGGGGTGCTGGGGCATTGCCTGAGCTCCTCCTGCAGCTCCTCTCGAGGTTCTCTGGCCCAGAGTCCCTCTGAACCAACAATTCTGCTGGAAATTTTCTGTAGGAAAAGCTGTGGCTGCACCCATGCACCATCAGTGCATTTCATGGTGTGCAATGCTGACTGGTCTCACGGCCAATAAATAAAGTAAAATATTATGTGCTTTGTCAATTCTGACTATTTCCTCTTGGTCTAAGGCAGTAATTTTCAAAATTTCAGCTTCATTACCTCAGGAGTTAATACACAAATAAAAACCATACACATGCAAGGATGGGTTTGAAGCATTTTTGTAAAGAAGATATTGGTTTTGAGAACTGCCTATAGGCAGAAAAACTTCTGAAAAATGAGTGAGGGAAGAAAACATTAAATATAAATATGTTTAATTAACCAGGGCATTTTCTTTGCATTGGTAAGAGAACATGTGTAGATAAAACTGAGGAGAGTTTTGCATGTGTGAGAACTGTAAATGAAGACATTTAGTGGCTGAGGAAGCAGGAGGGGAAGGGAGGGCTGGCCACTGTTGTCCAGCATCTCCCATCATGATTACTTCAATAGTGTGGTGGCTGAATTTGCCTGAATATTCTTCTGAATAAATGCAAGGCCACCCTTACGTCTTGTACAGGTTAAAACTGAGTCTATGAACGCCACGATCACTGGAATTCAGAATTTCTGAAAAAAAAAAAGACAGAATTTCAGAATTTCTGTAAAATACATAATTTCTGTAAAAACATGGACAGGATTGTGCCAGCTGTGCTCTGATTTAGTAATCTGGTTGGATGTGGGACTAATCCCAGAGTAAAGCTTTACTCAGAGCTCATGTGGCAAAATTGGCCCATGCAGAAAACTCTCAGAACAGGAATTGTGCTGCTTTTGCTTGGATTCTCCAGGCTGAAGATCTAGGAAGACAAGTGCATCAGTCTGTAGCAAATATAACACAGTTTTGGTGATTAAAACTGACAAGTAATATTGCATATTGAATGGAGACTGGTTTGTCATTACCACGAGGATTAGAAAGTGTAATCTTCATTAAAACATCAGTGGATTTACTGCTGTTTGCCTTGGAACCAGATATTTGCTCAGAATTTTCCAGTGAGTAAATTTAGTAAGTGCAGGGCAATTTAAGAGAGGGGAACTGAATCCTGCCATAACTTATTCTGCAGGAAAGAGGTGGGAATAATCCCTGTTATCTGACAAATCCACTGAATCCAATTTTATGGGCTTGGGTCACCTGCAGTCACATAAATGTATTAATCACTCTCACTTAAACTGGCCTCCTTTGGCTCAGGTGTAAGAGGTGACCCAGGGCTTTTATGCTTTGCAAGGATCATATTTTCTGTCCCTAAACCCATTATGTTTGCAAAATTTCATTTTACAGAACTCTGTCCTTTGAAATACACTTTGTGAAAGGTTTTTATCTATTCCACAGAGGCTTTTAAACATTACCCTTTTCTAACAGGTTCTGTAGCTCTTAGCTCAGTAGGGCACTGCCATGCTTTGATAAAAATAATTCTTAAAAAATTATAGTCTGTCATTCTTTTGACATAATGCTGATTAATGTCCCACTGATATTCAGTGAGAGAACAATCCTGTTCTGTTGAGAGAATGACCAAAGGCCAAGGTACAGTAGGTTAAAAGAGTAATGGTTTCATTTAACCTTCTAGTAAAAGCTGCTACTTCTGTGAACATAATTTAAGCTGATTTTCAGGAGAAACCAGTAGCAAAGGTTCCTCCTCACATACTTGCAGTGAAATCAAAGGATTCATATTGCCCATGAATGTGCCCCAAAGTTAAACAAATACAAAATAAAGGAGTAATGTATTTTCTCAACCCCTTGAGTCCTGTTCAGTCTTTAGTTTTACTTTTTGTTTTTTAAACACTTTGCAGCAAGACCCTGAACTGTCAAAGCTGAGTGGTGGTGGGTGTGGAGAACGTGCCATATTTCTGTAAAGTTTTCTTTCTCCTTTTGAAAGTCCAGTTTTCTCACAGAACTCAGTCTCCAGTTGTACACTTCTAACCTTCATGGGTGCACAGGTTTAACTGGCACAGGAACAAATCCTTAGCTTTCATTCCACCAGCCAAAATATAATTTAAATTTGGAAACTTGCTGCCATTTTTTTTTTTTGTTAGAACTCTTACTTCCAGTCCATTACACTGAAACCAGGTGTTTATTACTTTTCTGTGAATAAATTGCTGACACTCATTTTACTTTGTGATTATTAAAAAATTCAGTGTACTCCAGTTTTGTAATTACAATCACAGAATCCTGAAGGTTGGAAAATATCTTTAAATGTCTAACCTTCCACCCAGCACCACCATGGTGCTCACCACTAAACCACGTCCTCAAGTGCCACATCCACACATTTTTGAGCACATCCAGGGATGGTGACTCCACCACTTCCCTGGGCAGCCTGTCCCACCTTCTCCATGAAGAATTTTTTTTCCTACTATCTTCCTCTGGCTCAACTTGAGACTGTTTCCTCTGGTTCTTACAGCAAGTAGGTGTTGCTCAGAAAAATGTTGTGATCCAACACAGCCAGCCCAGTGGTGGCAGGAGGAATGGTTGGACACAATGACCTGGGAAGTGGAGGAATGAATTCAGTTCTTCATTCAGTTCTTCTCTTTGGAAGCACATTTGCATCTCCAACCTGGGAATTTTGACCAGCACAGCTTCCCAAGTGCCCTATCTGCAAAATCTTGAGAGGAGCTTCCTTGGCTTTATTAAGCATCACCTTGTTTCACTGCTAAGGGCAGGAGAGCTCCAGCATCAGGCTGGATATTTGGCTTCAGTTCTTTTCTTGTAGGATTTCTTTTCTCCCGTGGTTCCTAAGTTTCTCCTGATGGATCTTCCTTCACCCCATCCCTACCTGACCCTGCTCTGGATCTCCACTGTTGTTTTACCTTGTTGATGTTTTGTCTATATTTGCTTTAACCAGATGCCCCTCTTTGCATGCAGCACTGGGACTCATCCCCTCTCTCCTATCAACAATAATTAGCCTTGTAAGACTAATGGAAGAAATCGTGTCTAATTACCCTGTTGAAGGCCCAATTATGTTATTAACATTTGTGGGCTATAAGCTAATGATGAGGAGAGCCTCTCATTTGCATAGCATTAAGTTAATTGAGCTGGAAGCTATGGGGTGGATAGCAGTGATGAGAGCAGGATTCTGTTACAGAATGGATAATGATGACCAGAGCAGGACGATTCACCTGACAGGTTTATTAATTAACAGCTATCTGATTACCTCAAAGAAATGGCAAGTGGCAGTGCTTCTGAAGGAAGCTGCAGTATTTTTTTTAATGAAAGGTGCTCTGTCACTGTGGATATTCTGGGGTGATTTATGGTAATGGCAGTGTAAGCTCTTTCCTAGAAGCAAACACAAAAACTTGTTCTGGTTTCCTCCCTGCCCTTAAAAAACATTCTGCAAAGGGCTGGTGTTTGTGAATATTCCTCATTCTTACAAGGTGCACAGAGTCTGTGTGCTGCTGAGTTTGTGTGGTTGTCTGAACAGTGCACTTGGAAAATTCTTGATGGGTAACCTGGAAGCTTTGCCCTCGGAAGAACCAGAGGATTTTATTTTAAAATCTATTTTTCATTATGGTGTTAGGCAGAATTCTGTGTTATATTAGCAGGGAAATAACATAAACATTCAGCTTTTCACATTTTCTTGATATGTGCAAGCTGCAAGTGGAGGTGAGTGCCCTTTCCTTCAGTTTATTTCTGGGTACAAACAGTTATGCATAGTGGGTGGACCTTTTAAGGAACAGGAGTCTTCATTTAAAACAGTTCTAAGAAGAAAAATCCATCTTTTTCTTTTTTTGTTAAACATCAGATTCTGCCTGATTAATTCCAAACACATTGTAATTCACAACAGGTTCAGAGAGAGTCTTGTTTGAACTAGAGTACCTTTTGGGGGAGAAAGCACTCTGTTTAAAAGTTGCCTGTGCAATCAATCCATGAGTGAATAACTTCCTATGCAGTTACTCATTATTAGAATCCCACACCTCAGTCATGAATGTATCTGAATGTCAAATATAGTTTCCAGCCAGCAGATATTTTATATTTTCTTCAT